GGAAGAGGTGGGGGTAATATGATACAAGTTTATCACTTTATCCTCTCATCATACCCTCCCTATAGCCTCCGGGGAACCGTCGGCACCCCTTCATCATTACGACCGTTACCCCACTGGGGATATGTCGGGGGCAAGCGATCGAAACATACCCGTCCCCCTTTGTCAACTGGCCAAGGTAATGATCGTGCATTGACCGGTTGTCCCGTAAGGCATTTTTGTTAATATTGTTACCCCTCCCTCGCCCGATCTTTTATTCCTGACAACAACACTAGCAACGACGACGACGAAGACGATAAGGCCAATAATAACCCCAAATAACAACAACAACATCTATTAAAACAACGAAAATGTGTACGTATTTGAGCATTAAAGCATTTAAAACTACATTGCCTTTGTTTGACTATCTAAGGTAGATTTGAACATCTTCCTCTTCTTCTTCTTCTCCTTCTTCCTCTCCTTCTTCTTTTTCTCCTTCTTTGTTTTTCTTGTTTTTTTCTTTCTTTCTTTATTTCTACTGGATATGTGAGTTAACAAAACTTAAATTGCGTAACCTACATGAATGACAAAGTCCATGCTTTTGGATAATTCGCCCTTTTTGTGTACTTTTGTTCTTTTCATACTTTTATTGAAAATGGAAGAGTGCGAGGAAGCAAAGCGGTTGAGCGGGAAGAGGGTGTAGAAAGGGAGTCTCATATCATCTCCTTTCCAAGATTTCCCACCCTCCCTATCTTTCTTCCTTTTTATCCCACATTCTCTTCTCTTTTTTTGCGATTCTATTCCAGGCACGTGGCCCCTCAAGGTGCCGTATGTTCACCACACTCCTTTTTCACATTCGCTTCATGAATTCATGATGTTTGCAGCTAATAGAACGATATCTCAGGATTGGGACGTCATTGGGGCGCATGACATCCATTTGTGTGAGCAGAATTTGATGCCAAAGGTTTTCTTATGCCTCGTAAATTGACTTAAGCAATAGGTGTAAAATTGAATTTCATGGGCATGAATCAAGGCTTTTTGTTGTTTGTTAGAAGAACATTTAAAGAAAAAATGTCGTCTGTAGTATTATTGTTAAACGACGCAACCGCTTTGACATCTTTCACTGTCGATGGTCATTCTTGAAGAGGTATATCACTTTGCTCATGATCATGCATTATCCTTTGTTTACTTCTCGATATCCATAAGGAAAAATACATCTGTAAACAAATTAATGGATGCTCAGCTCGTTTATTTTGTCTTATACATGGATCGTAATCAAATGATTGATTGAGAGCGTACACGTGACCAGGCATTTATTTTGCCTATCACGTAATTTTGATAATGACCGGTCATTAAATGCTAATGACCGGTCATTAGTAAAATAATGTTACAAAACATTTTTTTATTGAACAGATAGAACATAATCTTATAAAACAAATAATACACATCATTTTGTGCGAGCATTAGTAATAATTACCCACACTCGGTACCTTCGAAACAGTTCAAACACCCTCGGATATCACCTCGGGCGTGTTAGACTGTTCCAAAGGTACCTTGTGTGGGGAATTATTACTAATGCCCTCACTGCTGTATATTATTTATATATATTGATGCTCATTTTGCTTTGTAAAGTGAACTTGCATTAATATTCCTCATAACGGCCAAATAACAAAATGTGTTTCTAAAAATAGGCGTCAGCTCTTTTTCTTAGTTATTACAGTATGAAGAAGAAAAACAAATATATGTATCATCTGATTTTGAACGTATTCATCCCAAGCACTTAGACGATAAAGGCACAGCGGGGGATTCTTAACCCGTTGTTAACTGAATTATTGTATTCCCGGTAGGCTTAACATAGGGACCACCAGGTTCCAGTAAACAATGGGTCAAAAGGACGTGATACATGATTATCCTTCAGAATCAATGTAAAACACAACAAAGAATTACCATGGTGAACTTAAAACGGACATTTTTTAAATTTAATTATAAACCTTCAATTTTTTTTTACGGAAGTGTATAATCGAATACTTTCAAACTAGGTCCCCAGTCACATATGGCTTCGTAATCGCTCTCTTAACTTTGATTTTTAGAAGGTGCTGACGTTTACAATAAAATGCCTATTTAGATTGCACAAACTTTCGGGAAATCAGCACAAGGTCAGTTACAACAAATCAGGGTCGGATTATGTTATATGTCACTGTCATGTTAGCACATATTTGAAAAGTGAATGGCAGTACTATTGAAACTGCCTTACAATAGGTTAAATTTTGTATAGTCCTTGTAATAGACTTCTACAGTCAAACCTGCTTTAGTGACCACCTGTCTACAAGGATCACATTTAACGTTTCCCTTGAATAATGGTTTCTCATTGAAACATGTACTAAAGAAAAAGTGAATGGCAGCACTATTGAAACTGCCTTACAATAGGTTGAATTTTGTATAGACCTTGTAATAGACTTCTACAGTCAAACCTGCTTTAGTGACCACCTGTCTACAAAGACCACTTTGTATGTTTCCCTTGGGCGGTCGCTATGGACAGGTTTGACTGCATTTAAGGAATCTTCGCATCGTTTTCTATCTCTCTAATCGACCTTATTCTTCCTTTAAGTGCAACATTCATCTTCGGTGGTGAATTGATTCAATATTCATGCCGTCTGGCCGAGCTGTTTGTGACAGCAAAGTATAAAACAAGACAGCGCATCCGTAGAAAAAGGGGCAAATAGGATTAGTAGACGATCCACGTATTTTGTCAAGAGAACGCTAGACTGCAAACGACATAACACCTTTACGTGCTAAAAACAGTGAAAGCAGAATTAGCATGATCAAGCCGTCAAGCTCCCGGCATTTGAGTCGAGGTGTACCTACGGGGATATGGGGGCATTGGAACACAGGGGCATCTACCCCCAATAAGAAAACGAGAGGGAGGGAGTAGTATATACAAAGACGTACTGTTGGTCGAAAATTCGTGACCTAATTAAACAATTGAATTTAGAGTACAGATCTTCTCCCCTTCATCATTTTCTGCGTCATCATAACTATGCCAGCATGAAAACTTAAAGGTAATAATACAAAGTTTTGGGAATTTTTGAAAATTGGTTGGATAGTGATTTTTACAATTTTTATATATTTGGATGCCCCTGCGGATGTATTATAAGCACTAGAAAATTCAGCCCCTAAAACACTTCTGCTTTCGAGAAAAATTGAATATACAAATTTACCGGTGCTCCCGGTAAATGTTAATACATTTCAAATAGCACCTACGGCCGTACACTGGTAGCTGCGACCGTGCAAATATGTTATTGGGATATACAACTTCCAAACGAGAATAGCTAAGCGGTCGATTTTAGTCAAGAAACATTGTTTCATAGCTTAATAAATATCTTGACCTTGAGAGGGAGCTATACGACGTAAAGAGTTTATTATTTACAATGTCATAACTTTAGACTCGATTTCAATGGCGACAACGATCTCTGTATATTGTGGATCGCATATGCTTCCAATATGTTCATTTGAACCAAATTCATGACCCCTTACCAAAATTTTGTATTACCTTTAATATCGAATATATATATATATATCATGTACAATGTATGTGGAGATGTTGGGGGAGGGAGAGGAGAAAGGGAGATAGCATCAGGTGGGAAATCATGTAGCTGTAAAATATATACACCTATATTATCAGAACGATGTTCCTTTAGCAACTGGCACCATAATATGTACTGGGCACTGCGTAAATACTGAGAACAATGTAAAGATAAAGTCTATAACAAATCTATGTAGTGCCATACTACTGCTCGATTTTCTCTTTAAGTATGAATTTAATGGTCGATTTAAGGAAGTTAACTGTGGCAATTATGTTGATGTATTGTGCGTTCGACCTCGAGGTTCATGGTACCATGAAAAGCGCATGTGGTGTTGAGCGATGTTAAACATCAAGATAATCAATGTAATTGCTTTTTATACCTTCGTGGCCTTTTGTTTCGAATTTGCGGAAGAAACATACACTCGTTTGTAAAGAGTGTAATACATTTTCTTTTGACAATATATATACACGTATTTACATCGTTCGGTGCATTCCCGCCCACATTATTGTTATAACTCGCAGTATTGTCTTTTGTTCACGTACAGCAGCCTACGATGATTACCATTCGCCGATCACCAATTCATCGGCTGCGCGGAAGAAGAAGAGTGCATCGATGTGCGCAGGGAAGAGTTTTGTCGCCACAATATCCAGGGAGAGTTGCTCATCGCTTCCCGCCAAAGCTGGCATTGTACCAACAGAACTCGGTGGAACACGCACACGCGACGTATCGTCTGCTGAAAAAAGTTTTATCGCCTGAGTGAGAGCGAGGGGAGAGGCGAAGAGGCCTCTCAGTTTACACTTGTCGAGTTTCACGGTGGGGGGAAAGGAAGCGGGATCTTACCGATTTCGCCAAACAGTTGGATTTCTGGATCATAAGCTTGGAATACGAAATCAAACACGGCTTGAAAGGATCGAGGAGAAATATATTTCCCGTCATAGAACCACGCTCGTTTTCAGTTCCTTTTCCTGTTCCCATTTTCGCTCGGAATCTCGAGTTTAGAGAGAAAGGTTTTGTATTTCTCAGTCGTCTTGGATTAAAGTTTGAAGGATATATTCAAAGGAATACAATCACAAATTCACGCTGCCTTCTTTTATAGTACTACTACTTGCAAATTCTTTTTCATATCCTGAGCAATCGTATCTTCGTCTGTCTTATTGACATTTCTCCGGTGCCTATTTCATAACCTAAATCATGCTCTGAGTCTGATAACCATTTAGTCAAATGCCCACTGGGGATTTCTAATAACGTCATAACGTTCCGATCGTGAATCAATTTTCTTTTAGTGCACATCTTGGCAACTACTGATCATAAATTAGAATCTTCTACTTTGACGGCCCCCTCTTCAAGCGACTGCATCTTGTTTTTACATGTCTTCACTATCCACTCAAGGATCAAAATTAGAATATTAATATCTTGAATTTTCGAAACGTCATGACAGCGATGGCGTCGGCGGCCAATTCTTACCAACCCGACGACGATGACGACTACATCCAGGTAATGGAGGTCTACCCCTCTCAGAACCACTATGGCGTCGTCAACCCATACTACTACTCAGATTACTACGACAATTTGAACTCGTCGTTGAGCCTGGACTACAAAAACCCTTACAGCGTTGATACGTCTGCTAAAATAATCTTAAGCATCAGCTACACTCTTATGATACTGATATGTGGAACCGGGAACCTTTTGTTGTGTGGTGTCATCTACCGTTTTAAGCGGATGAGAACCGTTACGAATTTGCTGATAGGAAACTTGGCGCTCTCGGATTTCTTGGTGGCCGCCGTGGTGGCGCCCTTTAACTTTTATTACTATCTGCATCAGACATGGCCGTTTGGCCGAGCTATGTGTGTGATTGTGGGTTATCTCAAGGCGGTCTCGCTTTACGTCTCCGTTAATTCCCTACTCATCATTGCCATTGACAGGTAAGGAACAGCATCTCTTCACTTTGTTTCTTTTTCAATTCAATATTTTACTTTATACCACGGGTTGTACTTTTGTTTACGAGGATTATATCTTCTTTTCACAGTCTACTTTTTTTTTTAATTTATTTATTTATTTCACTTCTTTATTCAGGTTAGTCTGTTCAGTATACAAAAATAAAAACCTGGTCTTTCACAGAGCCCTGATTATAATATACTTCATGAGCTCCTGTTTAAACACAACAAACAGAATGTTGATGGTGTAAAATCCATATAAATAAACATGCCATTTAGAACGTCCGATGACAGTCCATAGGTCATATGTAAAATTCTAAAATTGATCCCTCCCCCTAACAAAAAACAAAAAAGTGAGAATAGTTGATTTCTTAACATTAAATTGGTGGATGTAAATGTTTGAGTCTGTAAAAGGCTTTTCGATAAGAGAGCCACCAATTTAGTAGTCAACCGAGAAGTTCTTATCTACGTTAGATATTAAAGTACTATAGCAAATTCACCCAACAATGGCCTACGTATCCTCATCCCCCTCCCCCTCTAGAAGAAACAGGGTTGATAAAATCGGCAATGGGTCTGTATACGGCACACGCGGTTTGTTGAAATGAGACCCCATCTTATAACCTCTTAGACATGGAAAGCTGGACCCCCCCCCCCCCCTCCGTTTATCTTTTTTCTGGATACGCCGTGTATATATATGTTGCTCAACTTGCCAGATCATATAGGATTTCTTCTATCTATTCTATCCATTGTAATTCATTCTTCTTATACCATCTTATATTCTCTGTTCTTTTTATTTTTTTGTTTTGGTTAATGAATCATATAAAGCGTTCTTGTTATATTTAATGTTTGACAAGCAAACTATGTTCGTATTCAAGTCCATTTTATTTTGCACAGTTGTCAATTCATCTTTTACTATACCGTTTCAAGTGCTCACAAAGAAAACGAAACTACTTCCCTGGTTCAAAATATTTAATAGCTAACAAATCGAGAATTACGATGGGAATTTCCTTAGAACAAGATTGTGAAATAGTGGGCCATTTAAAAATGTGCACTATCGGATATGGGACGATATCGAATGACATCAAAGTACATCAAGCAAATTATGCTCTTTTTCTTTATTATTTTTTGATGAGCTTTTAAAAAATCAAAATGCCACTATCTAACGGCACGTGGAAGTCCATGGTTTCCATCTAGGAAATATGCACTCAAACTTGAAATGTCTGGGCAGAAGACTATCCACTCTGGTGTCACGCTGGGATAAACGGAAGCAGAGTAAATAATATCTCCCTTGACCTTTCCTGATTAAAGCAGTATGGTTTGCTTTAATAGACAGGTGCATTATAGGTGGGTCCCCCCTCCCCCTCCCCCCCCCCAACACACACAGCACACACTTACAACGCACATACATACACATAATTTTGTTTTAAAGTAACTTTCGTGCAATACTTCTGAGATCAATACTTTTGTGATCAATTAGACCTCGGGGTAAAAATGGAATTTGTTACACCTTTCAAAATTTCTTTCATTTTGCTGAGATGAATTTGAAGTATTATTTACGGTCACCTAAGTTTAACGTCGTCTCATCCACCCATTTTCAAATATTTGCAATTCCTCCTTTACAGATTGCCGTTACAACACTCAGCTGATTATCAGTGTGTCCATACCATCTTTTCAAAGATTCAAACAAGATACCTGTGTGTGTCGTAAATCTTTTTATGAACAAAGAACTGCATGGACAGGGAAAATGTTTAAAGTAGCTGTGCGAAGATTCTAAAAGCTAACTAAATCATGCCCAACCTGTGGTGTCACACATCTCAGCAGTGTTCGGTGAGCTCTTCAGGTGCTATGCCGGGGCTGTGTTTAAGCGTTTTGTAATTGAAAATAATCATTACTTCGAATGTTTGCAAGCATTGAGTTTTGATAAAATTGTCTAGTCAAAATTTTACGTTTGCAATAATAAAAATACAGTGTTTTTTTTTTAAATATTTGCACAGGTATTTTAAAGTGATTTTAAGTGCGTTCATACCGTATTATTTTCACTCAATCAATAAGGAAGCATCTATGTCCATTCTTTTATCGAGAACAAATAATAACGGTAAGGAAAGCACAAGACGTATGTAAGTCAAGTATGCAACATCAATAAGAAAGAAAACATTTAAAAACATTTTGATTTAAAATAATTTGTGTAAACATGTACGCACACACGCACTCGTACACTCAAATTATAATGCAACTTTTATTTCGAGACCAAATCAAATGTTTGAAGTGTGTATTTTCCGTTACATTTATTTCTTCATATAATTAATTCACCGTATGATAAGCTCACGATGGAGTTTGCGCTAGAGAATTTAATATCAAATACATGCACACTTGTTTCGATCCGGGAAAACAGGTTTTCAAATTGCGTTCGTTTTGTTACGAGGCCAAACTCTTTCAAATGAATAGTAAAAATCGTAAATTGTGAAGTTTTCTGAATAAAGAGGCTAATCGAAGAAAGAAAATATAACCTGGTATTGACGTGCTTATTGCTTTTACCGATCGAATGCGTCGAAGTACGGAGTAATTCCACACGGCAGCCTGAAGTGTTATACCCTGGAAACAAAACCCGGATGCAAATACAGCGCACCTTGATGAAAACCCACGCACAAATATCGTCACGCAAACTATAAAGGAAAAGAAGAAGAAGGGAAAATATTTGAAATCTGAAGCGGAGGCCTAGTTTATATAGAGACCACACCAATCAGTGGGGAAACAGGAGGCGTGCTCGTCTGAATTTACATAACTTTCTATTTTCACCTAGCTGCTAATAAACGCGGGAAAGCGGTTTCATTTTCCGCTTGTGTGTCTTTCTCTTGGCGATGTGTGCAGACGTTGCCCTTAATGAAACCCAGGATTATGTCAGCTCCTAGATTCCTCACGATCTTTCATTATTTGCTTGGATTCATTTGTGGACGGTTCTAGTTTAATGTGAATGATAAATCAGTAAAGCTATTTTTTGGTTTTGTGGAGTAAAAATATTTTTTCTTCAGGTTTTGAAGTAAGAAGTTTATAAACAGTGAGAGTTGAAGGCGTAATCATTTTCGAAGTTTTTAATTCTACTGCATTGTGGGTCTTGACGTATCGTGAAGTCCAGCCATTGAGGTGAGCACTAGTCTGACCGGAGAGGGGAGCAGACAACATGCACAGGTATTACTGGGTGGATGGAATGCGTAAGAACAAGATAATTGAGAAAAGGAGGGAGTGGGAAGGGGTCATATCATATGTTTTCGTGGTACCTTCCCCTTACCCTTTTGCCTTTCTCCTTCCTCTTCTTCTTCTCCTTCTTCTTCTTTTCTTCTTCTTCTTCTCCTTTGTCTTCTTTTTTCTTCTCCTTCCCTCCTTCTTCTTCACCTTCTTCTTCTTCACCTTCTTCTACTTCTTCTCCCTCTTTTTCTTTTTCTTCTTCTTCTTCTTTTTCTCCTCCTTCTACTTCTTCTCCTTTTTCCTCTTCTTCTTCTTTTGCTTCTGCTTGTTTTTTTCCTACTCTTCTTCTGATGCTTCTTCTTCTTCTTCTTCCTCTTCTCCTTATTTCACTTCTAGTATCTCACTCTCTCTCTGTCTCTATTCACGACTCAACGGGGACATTCCCCCGTAGCTATACTGCAGCGTAATCTCTCCTCTTCGTATTGTTTTATTCCGCTTTCCCAGACTTCTCGACACTTCTGTCCTATGTGACCCATCGATCTGTTGTTTCGCGTTCAAGCTGTATGCCCCCATACCTTTCACATGAAACAAGGGGGTGTTTCACAAAGATCCTAAGTTGAACTTATCTATAACTTGGATTTAACAATTATGGAAAGCCATTAGCATCTTTTAAAATATTTTGTAAAAGTTATTTTAAAAGGCATAAAATGTTGATTCGAATTAATCATATTTTCTATTATCAAGGAGATTTCATGTTCTTGATATGAAATTTATGAAAAGCATAAAATGCTTGACTTTTTGCTTTTTAATATATTTCACTTTAAGGCTACAAATGGCTCTCCATTATTTTTTAGTTTAGCTTAGAGTTAAGTTCGATTTAGGATCTTTGTGAAACATCCCCAAGGTCTTGTTCTCTTGTTTCTTGTCTCTATCCATATGCAAGACTTTCACTTCCTTCTTATACCATTACCGTTCCATATTCTTTTAGGCATCACTAATCTGTTCCATATTTATAATCATTGCCCATGTCTCTGCCCTTATAAGTGATTCCCTACCTGTATATCTTTCCATACTTCTTTCGGGTAAAACTAAAGTCTGTCCCTTGTTTATTATCGCTGGTCGTGTCTCCCCGCCTTTTTCAATCCACTTTCGCGTTTCTCATGAATCTTCTAATCTTCGGTTCCATATGTATCATCATTACCAAAGTACATCTAGCTGCCCCACATTTTATTTCTCTGAACAATTCCAACATGCGAGCCGCCCTCGCTTCTTTGGTATATAGTTCTAAAACTTTCCATTCGCATGAGTATAGCAATAATAATTATCCATGTCTCTGCACTTTTCTATTCTTGTAAACGATAACCTAAATGTGTCCGTACTTTTTTTGGTAATCCCATTATTTTGTCTAATAAATGCAATTCATGTGCTTGTCTCTGCCCCTTTGTCATTCCTCTGGCGATGTTCGTCGTAATATATCTTTCCATTTCTTTGGGCTATACTAATCATGCGGGTCTTTTGTTCCATATTTATAATCATTGCCCAGGTACATGTACCGATGCTCCATTTCCCCCTTTTCTTTCAACAATTCCGTGATGTTGGCCTTCTGCACTTCCTTGCTTTATATTCCATCAGCTCTACTGATCAACGTTCAGAATAATAATTTTCCATGTCTCTGCCCTTTCCTATTTTTTTGTTAACGATTAATTATGTCACTCCATCCTTCTTTTTTTAGTAATAACAAATTCTGTCCAATTGCCATAATTACTTTTCCATGTCTCTTACAGGCTCCAAACCTAATGTTGAACAGCG